TTGTTTGTGCCCAAAGGTAGTAGCGAGGGGGCGTCTCTGGGTGACCTGTTCCGCGCGTGCGAGCAAGGCGGCGTGTCTCCCCTCGGCCGGGAGTGCGAGGCCAAGGGCCAGTCCGAGTTCAGGCAGTCCTTTCTGCGGCGGGCCGCCGACCCGCAGCTCAACGAGCGTCTGCACCGCCTCCGCATCCTGAGCTCCACGCTGAAGGTTGGTACACGCGGCGCCGCACGTTAGCAACAACGTGCGTCTCACGTTCTAGGTCAGGATTGACCCGCTCTGTTCTTTAATCATTAAAAGGCTAATTTCGTACAAGAAATTTTACAGGACGCTTGACTTAATACGTAAATTCAAGAGTCCTTCATTTTTAAAAAAATGTATTGACATTCAAAAATAAAAATCAAGAGTTACATTTTTTTTTTTGGTTGGTTTAGCTTAAATTTGTTAGCTGAGATGTATTTATTCAGGTTTCCCTATTTATTTATATTCATTCCTCATGAAATAATTAGTTTTTGTGAATTAAAAAAAAAGCCTATATGCGCACTCAACATTTTTTTTATGTCTTGCATCAAATAAGTGCTCCATTCATTAGAATGAAACAAACTGTGAGCAACACAATGTAAAATTGCAAACGAATCCTTTGCACAATTTCTGGAACATTTTCCAACAGTTTGCAATGAACCCGCAAAACGATTGAAATAGATCTGCGCCACTATTATTCAATAGATAAGTCGCTCTTTTCCTGTTTGTTAATTCAAATATATCGATATCCTCTTCGGGAGTGTTCAACGGCATCCCTAAATGCAACGTATTCAATTTGCCGTACCGGCGTGTCCTTTTTCCACGAGACTGTTTTGCCGAAACCAGCCTGATTGCGCAATCCATACGTGCGTTGAACAGTGTGTCATGAACACGCTCTGTCAAATGTCCGTCGAGGTTCTCGTGAGCAACATTCACGTCTCAGTGTGTCCGGCCCGCCTCTCCTTGCTGAGCTGTTGTCCCGTCGTGGATTTGCATTTGTGTCTCCGGGCAGCGACGGTTGTTGTTGTCCAGTTTGCAGGAGCTTTGCTTGTCGGTCTCGTGGCTTCCCAATCTGTGGCTTTGGCTTGAGCTTCCATGTTAGTCCTCCTCGTTTGGCATCTCTGCGAAAAGGGAATACAGTGGTAACTTGACTGAGAGTGGTTTGAGGTGTGAGCCTGCTCGTGGAACACAATGGACTTGTAAGTCAAAGCACCACTGTAGTTTGGGGAAGTCTGCTCCAGTGAGTTATTTCCCACGTCGTGTTGGGCTTCTTCCAAATGCGACGTGTTGTTGTGGATCCGGTCAGAGCTGGGAGCTGTTCGTTTGATACAGTATGCTTCAGTTGCGGTGGAAACTGCAAAAAAAAAAGGCACTGCGGTAAAACTGGAGTAAGGAGAAGCAACTCAGCACAACCAGACGTCCCCAAACGTTGTCTGTCTCGCTTTCCGTGTTGTCTGCGTTTTCAACGTTGGAGCGCTTTGTCAAAGCCAACCCCCCACCCCACCCCAAAACCATGAATAAAAGTTCTCTCCACTCCCCGGCTGTGTTTGTGCGTAGGACAGAGAGGGGGAGGTAGCGCTGATTGACAGGCTCTTGGCCCGCCCCCAGCTGTCGTCCGCAGAGTTCCAGGAGTGGAAGCGAGCTTATCGGGAGCACTTCTCGCAGACGCCAAACGAGGCCGACGAGCCCGAGGCTGAGCCCCAACCCGAGCCCCAACCCGAGGCCGAGCCTGACCCGGGGCCGCCCTTGACCCCCTCGCTCTCCCACACGCACTCCTATATTGAAACGCACGTCTGATGCGCGCACAAACACACATACACGCACACAGAAGTGAGGTCATCCAGCAGAGGAGTGGCCATCACGGTGTGCTTACTTCGCAGGAAGTGATGTCGTGAGGCTGGCAGCAGGCCCCTCCCGTGATTGACGGACTTGAATGTCGTCGTTCGGACGCAAGAGGAGAGCAGGAAGAATTCGTTTTGAGCACTTTTGAGGTGTCATCTTTTTTTTTTTCTTTCGGTTTTCAATTGGCACTCAAAAATGGAACGTGAAAAAGTATCACTTTCATCTTAAAAAAAAATGATGGCCCATTTTTCAATGTCATATTTTGGGATCAGATCATAAAATTGAATTATGAAAAATCGTATGTGATAAAAAAATAAATAATGACGCTTGTTCATTGTTTGGTTTTTGCTTGCCAGTTGAATATGGAAAAAAAAATGCAAAGCAGAGTATATACTGGACATTCTTTGTATAGCATATTTATAAATAGCCTCAGTGTTATGTAATCCCCACCAAAAAATCAAATTGTAATCTCACTTGCCAGAATATTAGGCACACCCACACAATCTTACCACGTGTAATATTAGAACCGTCATGGATGCTAATGCTCATGTCATATCATCACCCTGGACACTCTTTTTATCATTTGTGGTTGTCGCCCCATCCAACGCTTTCGATATTGACAGACGACGCCGCCCTTGGAGATTGAATCTCAGGTGTTCCTAATGTTCCGACCCTTGGGTTTGAATGGCACACAGAAGCACCGCAAAAAAAAAAGAAAAAAAAGAAAAAAAAGCTTGGACAAAGAGTTCATGCCGCCGATGCTCGTAGTGAGTAGTAGCATGTCCTTGCTGCAAATACACACAAGATTATTTATTCTTATTCTCAAGTTTTGTGTTTTAAAGCACCAGATTTTCTTCGTCTTTTTTTTTTTAAAGAGTGTCAAGATAACCGAATGCTGAAATTAATATGATTATGACAACAGAAAAAAAAATATTTATGTGTGTGTTCTGTTGGACGATGCGGGTGGATCAATAAAGTTTGGTCGTTTGGACGACCGTCTTATTTTGGTTGTGCCCAGTGGGCATCTGGTGTCAATATCATATAAAAATCCAATCTTCAACATCAAATTGATGTCAGATGAGCACGGCATAAACATTTCTGCAAGGCAAAAGAATGAGGATGGTTCATATTTGATTATTTATTGCAAGAAGTTGTTTCGTGTTTTTTTTTCCCTCCACGCTGCAGCTTCACCAAAACCAAAAGTCAAAAAAATACATGAATTCTATCTTGAAGTTTAATCAATAATCGCTTCTAAATTCTCATCGCATGTTCGTTTTCTTCCATACCTTCGCTTACAAATTCAGCCGGCGTTTCCCTGCTAAATCTCCTCACCTTGTCCTCACCTCGTCCTAAAACATTCCCGCTTCCCCTTGGCTCATCTTAAGCCGGAGATACGCTGTGCGGTTTTTAGATTTGTTGTACCCACTCACACTGCAAGACTAAACCGCCCGTGATGGAAAGTCACTGCCTGTGCTTTTGGGTCTGTACTGTTCTCCTCCAGTCATGTAGATGGCAGCAGTGCACATTTCTAGCTGTTTGTCAACTGAGACAAAAATACTTTTTGAAACACGTCCAGTTCTTGGTTTATTCGTACTTTGACTTGGAACGGTACTTGGGCCGCAACTGATGAGGTCTCAAAAGATCACCAGCCAAGTGAGCAACACCTTTAGCTTACCTGGAACCAACATTGTGATGGAAAACTCATTTCCTGGTCTTTTTTGGTGGTGAATGAAAGAATTTACCATCGTAGATACCGAAAACGTCTTCCGAGCACTTCGGGGAGGAAAAATCTTTTAGCAGACCCCACGTCAGGGGAGAATCGCCCAGGAAAGTCTTTTAGACATTCCTTAGTTGGGCCTTTGCTGACTTTAACTCATTCAGTACCAGCCAATTCTGGACCAAGTCTGAAAAGACGTTTAAAAACGTCTTTGGGAGTGAGTTTTTAATCAAACGGGGGATGACATTGTCGAATTCTGAACAGGCCAGAGTTTATCCCCAGCTGCGGTATCTTCACTCAGGACTGAGACGACACACCGACTGGAGCTTAGTTCAACTGGCTAGCTCCGAATCTTAGCATCAAAATGTGCATAAAACACGACAGACCCAAGTGTTGTGTCTTTTAGTCAGGCATCGGTAGTAACGTGCACTCGGTTCCCGTGAGGGGTCTTGGCAGCTGACAGATTTCCCTCCAGTGGTCTTTCTTGGGTTCGTACTCCAGCACGCTCTTCAGGACCACCTCCTGCCCGTTGCTCCACTTCCTCCCACCAAACACCAGGATGCTCCCGCTCGGCATCGCCGCCATCCCGTAGCTGAAGGAAGCGGGGTGTAGCGGCCTGAGGAGAGTCCAGTGGTCCGCTCCTGGATCGTAGCGCTCGATATCGCAATAGGGCTCGTACATCCCCAGTAGGGCGTAAATGTAACCGTGGACGCTCGCCAGGCGATGCCCGAACCTGCCGATGGACATGGGTGCCACTTTCTGCCAGAGTCTACTCACACCGTCCCAGCACAGAACTTCCTTTCTGCTTTGGCTCTGGCCCGGGACCAGGTCAACGACCCCGTTGTCCGGGAGACCACCCGACACGTAAATTTTCTGTTCGAGCACGGCGCTCGCGTGACCGTGGAGCGGTCCGGGCATGGGTGGTCCCCGCCGCCAAGCGCCTGCCTCGAAGTCATAAAACTCCACGGAAGCCAACGTGGCGGGTGTGTTGCCGTCGGCGGTTGTGTGTTGTCCGCCAATGGCGTAGATGGAGTCGTCGGTGGCGCAGCAGGTGAACTTGGTCCTCTTCTGAAGCATGGACTCCACCTGCTGCCAACACTCAAAGCGGGGGTCGTACCTCCAAACCTGGTTGGAGGTTTCCGCGACGACCGGTTTGCCGTCTGCCTTGCTCACCACCTCCCCGCCCACTACGAAGAGGAAGCCACCCAAGGAGCACACGCAGTGGTTCCTTAGTCTCTGCGGCAGGTAGGTCGTAAGGGACCCAAACGTCCTGGTTTTCGGATTGAACATCAACACCTGCTGCTCCGGATGATCTGGACTCGAGCTACCGCCGACAAGTACTACACGAACGGCCGCCCTGAGCGTGGACTGTTTGTTCTGCTTGATCGGCCTTGCCGAACCCGTTCTGTGGTACTCCAATGCCCTCGTCACCTGGCTCCTGATCAAAGGTGTGCCCATGGCTTTGCTGGCGTGGCTCAGGTGCGCAAGATCGTCCGGGGCGATCAATCCGAAGCGCAAGCGGCTTAGCAACTGGTTGGATTGCAGCAGCGGCAGAGGTCCGTTCTCACCCAACCAATCCAGTGCCAGCTTGACAAGCTCCACCTCCTTTACCGCCGGAATTTCATCAGCGTCCAGCACCGTCATCAGCGATTGGATGTTCAAGCCCAGGAGGTCGTCCCGTCTCTCTTGCAGAAGAGCGGCCATCTCCGTGGCGATACTGTAGTTGGCCGCTTCCAACGCGTCAGTAAGTGCGTGGTACTCTGCTAAGTTAGCGTAGCAGCAGCAGTTCTCCGCGCTGAGCTCATCCGTGATGTAGCGTTCACATATGGCAACGGCCGTGTCCACTTGCAGGTAGCTCGCCGCCTCCAAAACATCAGGAAGTGTGCTCTCGGACACCCTGAGCCAACCGGAGTACAGGAAGTCTAAGATGACATCTAAGCCTATGGGCGTTAGTGCCGGAAGCCTGATGCTGCACGCTAATCTCTCCGTCGTAGCTTCCCCGAATAGAGCCCAAAAATAATCGCTGGAACTGGCCAGGAGGGCCCGATGGCACGGGAAGGAGACCCCCTCGGTCTCGAGCACCACGTCGCACATCCTCCCGGCCGAGCGCAGACGCTGGAAGCGGGCGAGCAGCTCGGTCCTGTGGCATGAGCTGTAAAGGATGGAGTAGCTATCCATCGTCCCCAAAAAAAGTCACGATCAATTCCTACCGTGTTATCCTTCTGGCTTCCTGGTCGCCGCAGCATGCGTGCCAAAAAGTGACAAGAAAGTCCACAGATGACCGCCTCAAAGTCGGACCCTTCCAACACTCTCCCGTCTGATTCGTGATGTCCTGAATCTGATCCTTCGCTTTTTGTCCGCTGCCTTTTGGTCTGCGCCTTGGGTGGGAGTAGGACCCAAATACCACACACACACGCATACCCGCTCAATCCTGCTGTACCACCTCTAAAACAGACCCTCCAAAACTCCTCCTGTGTTTCTCTGTGATGTTCCGAATGTGATCCGTCACTTTATGTCCGCTGCCCTTTGGTCTGCACCTGGGGTGGGAGTATCGGCCAAATACCGCACACACACACACAGACACACACACGCACATTGGCAGCCTGGCAGGGTTTAGTGTCAATCCCGACGGGTGAACTCATTGGTAAATACAGCTGCCCGTCTGAGTCCAAGGGCGCCGCGGCCGAGGCACTTAGGAGCTCTCATTGCCATGGTGACAGGAACAGAAAACAACTGACGCTTTGACTCTCGCTCGGCTCCAAACAGTCAAGCATCAAGACCTGCACATACGTTGGCCAAGATGACCCGAGTGCCACGACAAGAGACGCTAAGCTCGTGCGCTTGTTTTGGTGCAGAGATTGCATCCCCCGTATCGGGTGTCAACGTGTTTATGGCCCGTTTGATTCATGGGGAGGGCTTCTGAAAGTTGTTTGTGTGTTTTCGCTCCTGTCCGTCTGATGCCGAAAGACACGACGGAGTCACCCGCGTGCGAGCGACTTGGTTTCATGGCACACGTCCAAACGGCGCAGCCTTCGCTGCCATTTACCTCTGACTGCGATTAGCGCGCCGCCCTCGGAGATGAGTGTCCGCGTGCTTCTGCCCACGCTGCAAGGGTGCGCGTGCTGCTTTCATTCCACTCGTACATGAAAAGAAGCATCGCGCCTCTTCGCGTCACGTTTTCTTCGTTCCCATACAAAGGCAGATTGTCCCATGTGGATGTTATCATTGCACCCTGACCTGATGGAGGCTAAACTTAGCTACAGCTGCTCCGCATTGCTCCCCCTCTCTCTATTTGTGTGTGTGTGTGTGTGGCTTGTGAAGTGATGATGGATAGCGGGCCGATAAGAGAGGTACATTTGGATGGTACTTAAACACGGTGGATTTTGTGGCATAAGGAGGAGCTTAAGCCAACTCTTTTGAACACAGTTAAATATACGTAACGCACTCTGGCTATAACATTAGCGAGGTGGGAAAACAAGAACTCGACCCCCCCAAAAATTGGATGTCCTTCAAAGTGGCATCAATTAAACAATACCGTGTTGCAATCCAAAATTGGATCAAGCGAGCTTCAGAGCAAGGTTATGATCGTTAACGAAAACCAACAAAGCAGCGCTAGCAAGTACCGTATTTTCCGCACCTAAAAGCATTCGATTTTCTCAAAAGCCGACCGTGCGCTTTATCATCCGATGAGCCTTATTGATGGATCAGTATTCTGATTTCGTGGACGTAGCATTTGAAATATTCTGTAAAGCGCTTTGTTGCGGCTGTGGGGGCGCTATAGAAATAAAGCGGTATTGTATTGTATTGTATTGTATTCCCTTTAGTGTAGCTCCATCTAGTGGATGCCTAACGCAACCGCAGCCACTATGGTAGCTTCTATTCTATGCGCCTTATAGTGCGGTGCGCCCTGTATATGAAAACAGTTTTAAAATAGGCCATTCACTGAAGGTGCGCCTTATACTCCGAAGCGCCTTATCGTGCGGAAAATAGTCAATTGCACGACGGCAAAATCTAGATTGGCCCACGCTCACTTCTTTGTGATAATTAATACAATTTAGATTGCCATTTGAACCAAAATGATTTATTGCCCCCGCGGATGACAACAACCCAAAAACAACGCAAAAAAGTCGAACACGCTGACCGACAAGATATGACGTTGATGACCGTCGAATACTTTTCTAAGAACGGAGGAAGAAAGTGTCTCTTGTGGTTCACCTTCATCGACTGAAAAGGCCCCCCAAAAACCCGAGTTAGGCTTAACTCGCTCAGTCTCCGCGACGGAAACGCATCACGTCGGTCTCTCAGTTGGGATCGCAGTGTATGAATTATGCTCGAGTTTAGCAGCAAGTCAACAACAACAGGCCAAACAAATTTGTTGATGTTATGATGCGATTGTGGTTTTGTAGCGCCGCCGCCGCGGGAACCAGGATGTGTCGGTCGTCCTTCCTCACCACCTGGAAGCTCGTTCTAATGGACAAAAAAAAATTAAAAAATAATAATAAATAATCAGACACCCGATTATTGGATTTCAATTCATGTATTTATTACATCACCGAGTCTTTCTTAATACTCGGCTGACCTTATTTAGTTGCAGCAGAGGGTCAAAACACACACTTTAATGTGACACGCTCGCTTTTTTTTTTTGGAGCTACAAATAGCACCTGACTCAGCCTGGCTTGCCGCACACCGTGAGGCAAGTGGAACAGACGACACCGCTCCCGTGTGGAAAGGAACGTCACAGCATACCACAAACCCGTTTTTAGCTTTTTATTGAAACCCTTTGGGTCACTTTTGTCCAGTTTTGACACTTGACAAAAAAGATTTCAAAATGCCATACTGAGGCTGTTTGTTTGCGCCTCCTAAACCGGATTTTAGATTCGCCAATGAAATTGGTTTTGCTTAACGGTGGATTTGAAATGCTCTCTCGAGAACTGTCGTTGTGCCGCCACCGCATTTGCACTTGATTCTTACAGAAATGTGCTGCTGACCTTTGCGTTATTCTTTGGTGACCCATCGTAATTCGCTCTTGACGTTCTGGAGCTCCGACAGGTTGACGGCTGGTCCCGGCAATTTGACGGCGCCGGGCAAAATCTTTTTTTCCTCCTGCGCCGTGTGCGTGGCGTCGCTCGGCTGTTCCGTCGGCGAGTGGGCCTGGGGTGCGGGAGGAATGTAATCAGATTACTGTGCACCTGGAAGAATGTTTGCGGCATCCAAATAGGATTGTTAGGCCTCGGTGGAAGTTAGATCCAAGTTCAGAATATACTGAGCTAATATTTTGTGTGTGTGTGTGCGTGTGCGTGTGTGTGCGTGAGTGTGTAATACATTGCCTGACCTCAGGTGTGTCTGCCATCTCCTCTCTCCTCCTCACAGGATGTCCCGCCCCCGGACGCAGAGCTCCCATCGGGATGTTCAGATTAGCCTGACGGACAGCAAGAATGAGCCAATAAGAAACTGAGGTGTGTGTGTGTGTGTGTGTCAGCAGTCCTACCCGTAAAAGGAGCTCGTGTCTGAGCGTCTCCAATTTGGCTCGGATGCGTTTGCGCGCGTCCGTCAACGCGCGCGCAGTGTAACATTGTGAAAAGTGTTGCGACATGCGGGTTGGCTCACAGACGGGTTTTTTCCTTATTCCTGGTTCGCGTCGGATGGAAGAAAGTCTTCCGAAGTCCATCTGCAGCATGTTTGCTTCAATTTATTCCACGTGCCGTTAGCGATCGTTGCTTAACATTCCGCCGGGTGCAACCAAAGATGAACGGAGTCAAATGCAACGCTGAAGGAAAATGACTTTGGGCCTTAAGGGTTGCTCACGGCAACACGTTTGATGATTTTAATTTGACTTCATGTGCTTTTGTGATGTCCTTTTAGAGGTACAATTAATCGTACACAAGTTTTGTTTTTTTTTTTAGCTAAATATTAAGTATTTATTAATTCAACAATTTGTTTCTGCTTAAAGGCGACATATGCTTTGATCAAAAGGAGACACTTCACAACCTGTTGCTTGTCTTGCTGAAATTAGCCCTGATAGCATTGATTTTATTTTCCTTTTATTTTTTGGGTCAACTGGGCCAATAATTGTTTACAAGCGATTTAAAAAGTCGACAGAGCGAACCCCCGCATTTTCAAATTTTGCCTTCCTGCCATCTTCTGTGTGGCGTCTTGTTGAAGTGAACTGCGGAGCTTCAGTTTGATATCTATATCTGATTAAACATGAGTCTTTCGAAGAGATTTTACATCATGTCGCCTTTCAGGCGCAGCGGTTATTACACTGGACACAAATTGTGTCTTCAAGACATTGTTGGAAGTGTTGATATAATCTGCGCACACTTTTGCATCGTCGTCGTTATTTGTGTCATTTATTACCGTGGCGCTGTTCTTTCCGTACGACTAAAACGAACGGAAGGAGAGCAAAAAGATGCCCACTCATGGTTAGACGAGCAAACGAGCACAAGCGGGCGGAAGGCGAGACGAGAAGCCATCACCAGCCATCCAAACGCGTCCAAACTCTTCGGAGATAATACGTTGCCATACGCGCTCTGCCTCGAAGAAACGCTGTTGCACTAAAAACTCTGAAAGCCTCTTTGCAACTCAATGTACAGTTTGCGAGTCGATGTGTTCTTGCCTTCGCCAATAAAGACTTAAACGCAAACACACTGACTGTTTTCTTTGAATACAATCACTGTGTTGAGTATTTAATTCATGATTTTTTTTTTTTGAGGGGGTGGGGGTTGGTTTGTTTCTTCTTGCGACTTAACACTTAACTTGTCTCATTATTAATTTTTTCATACTGCTGTTTGCTGCCGTGTCTCCCTGTCCTTGATTTGGTGTGTGTGTGTTCGGGGGGGGGGGTGGGGTCAGGCGAGCCCAATGCCCCAATTTGCTTTCAATAACCACAAAAGTGAGAGTGGCCATAGGTTGATAGAACGATATAACGGCAACATGAAATCTGCCTAGCAACAAGTGATGAGGTGTAACAGAGTGACCAGGAAAAAAACATTTGATAGATTGATTGATTGAGTGTGCTCAATTTGTCTAATATTTTAATCACTTTGGAAGCATGAAATCTGCCTAGCAACAAGTGATTCCAGAACATACATACTGTACTGGATTTTTTTATATATAGCACACTCCTTTTTTAAATTTTTTTTTTTTTTTTTTACCTGCAGGGCCTTGACGTTGGACGAACGTTTCGACATAATCACCTCTGACCTGTAGGATGCACAGAGAGAGTATAGACATTTAGCTCTGGCTTTGTGACAGTGCATATACGGGTGCGCGTTGCTATCGCGAGCTTTCTCCGTCCCGGGATAGCATTTCAGTTGCCTAGCGACCCCGCCCCGCACGGAGCAGCTATAGAGGAACTGCCGTGTGCATCATTGATGAGAGGATGGGGAGACCACACAATGAAAGAGCTCAGTTTCGGCACGCCGGGTCAGGATTAGGGACACTTTCTTTGAACTTATTCGGCCATACTGCATACAACACATGGACTAAAATAATGAGGCAATCAATTATCCAATGAGAAATTTCAGCACAGACTTTTTTTGGCTCTGAGTTGTGTACTTACTAAGAAAAAAAAACAAAAACATTTTGGACAATTGTATGTTTTCAGCTATGTGGGAAGTCTTTCGCGAATTTCCTTTTCTGTTCCCAGTGCACAAAGAAAGGACCAAAAAAAAAAAAAAAAAGGAATTCTTGGATGAGTTTGGTTCTAAAGAACACACGCACATGTTTCCAAAATCTAGTCGAGAATCTTCCCAGATGAATCGAAGCTGTTGCAGCTGCAAACTCTCAATCGCGAACTTCCTGTAGTTGTCCAAATACTTTTGTCCATAGACTGTTTTGCAAAAAAAATGTTCTTTTCATCTCAGGCATGCAGCACATTTTGAAAAGTATTTTTTTCCCCCGTATTTTACACGAAAGGCTATTTTAGAGTATGAACACCTGCTCAAGCAAATGTGTCAATCAAAAGTGAACATTACACTTTTGATTGGAAAATGATGAATAACTTGAGTTGTTAAATACTCAGCTCAGAACTACTCAGCTGACTTTGTAAAAACATTTCGTAATGACACAAATACAATGTGAATTGAATATATCAATTTTTCCCGCATTTTTTGGTTCTGCTCAATGTGCATCGTGCTAGTTGCTCTTCACAGAGGATACAGAATCTATGCCTTTGAGAAATTTTATTTTTTTTTGCCCCACTATTTGAGTTGTTTCAAGGTTTGAGGGGACCGCTACATATATGATAGTTTCGTTGGCCGCTCTATGGATGTTAGCATTGTTTGTTAGCATTAAGCTACATTGGACTAGCCTAAGGCAAAGCTACGGGGTTGCTGTGTTTAGTTTAACAGTAAAACCCGCACACACATGAACTGGCGTGTAATCGTAGACGTTTCCATGCCCTATTTATCTTATCAAGCTGTGGCTTTTTTGGGGGTGGGGGGGGGGGGCAGCAGAAAGGCTCTCGCTCGCTGGGTTTCCAGGGTGCTGTTTGGGGCCACAACAATACACACTCACCGCACACTCTGCCGCCCTTGACACGACACAGACGTACACACACATACTGGACACATGAAATAATCCTCATGATGACCTTCATATGTTTTTTTTATTTTTTTTATGTCCCCCAAATGACTTGTACGTTTATTTCCAATCCAAGAAATACCGCTAAGAACCGCCACTGATGCCAAGACGAGACAACACAAACTAGACGCAACGTACCTGCTGACGACACAAAAGTTGTATTGACTGAAGGCTGACTTTATGCGCACATGGGTGGACTCTTACACTTCCCATCTGCCTCCTTCTCGCACTTTCTCTCTCTCTCTCTCTCCACCTCCTCACTCTTCCCTCCTGCCTCGAAGTGGCGGCAGGATTCCGCTCATATCTGGGATTTGTTCTCACTATAAATAGAAGAGTGATACACAGAAGGGACCTGCTTCGCATCTGCACGCACACACACACACGGTCACACTTGGAGACCAGATAGTCCAACAGGGCCACTCGCTTGCATTCGAATATGTTATGAAGTTTGTGAGGCCCCCAGAGAGTACAAACAGTTCTGGTAAAACCAGACTTCATTGACAAAAACGATGATTTAAAGCTCGGATCCCATTGAAAGACAACCTAGGATGCCCTGAAGCTTAAAATGGCACCGGCCTAGTTCTACATGGACACACACTTCTGTATCGGCTCACATGCGCACACACATGCATAACGTTGGCGCAGCCATTCACGGTGGTGGCATAAGTGAAGGTGTGTGGATGATGTGTGTGCCCTCTTACCTCCTTGCTGCTCTGCTCTCTATGAGGTCCTCCTCGGCTACCTGACCTGTTTCCGCCTGTTCCCATTCGCTGAGAGAGACACCAAAGCTCCTCCTCTAATTCCAGTGTGAAACAAGAAGAATTTGCATCAAAGAATACTTTATTTCTTTAGTTGTTTATTTATTCATATTGCAGCTAAAATACTGTTAAGCACCCTGAGATCAGGGCTAGGTCAAGTTTTGTGCTCAAGGGCCACATTTATTTTTTCATAATAATATATGTGTTGCAATAATAATGTAATGGTTAATAGTTTTTTATTTTTATTATTTTTTTTATTCATTAATTTATTACGTTTTTTGAATCTATGGGCCATATTATGCCCCCCGCCGCGGCTTGGATATTAAGATTTAAGATTTAAGATATCCTTTATTTGTCCCACACTGGGGAAATTTACAGTCCACAGCAGCAAGATAATGGGTAGAAAGAAGAAAGAAGAAAAGAAAAACAAACACACATTAAACTATGTCATCGTCATTTAATTCTTTTTGAATACATTTCCAGTGCACTATTGAAAACAAACTTGTAAAAATAACAAACAAACATTGATTTTGTTTCCGCTAAAGTCAAATACATTTCCGTATGTAGTACCGCCGTTCGACTCCTGAGGGCAATAGCGACCTAATCGTCTGCACTCTCTTCTTGACCGAAGAAGAAAAGGAACGCCGCAACCCGGAAATGTATTCCAACTCTGTTTCTGTTTTCGTTTCCTGACTCTTAGCAATCCACCAGGGTTAGAATGGAGAACTTTTGAGACCGAAGGAGGCGTTATCGTTCGTGCGGCGGTCGACAGGTGGCGGGAGAGCCATGGAGGTGGCGAAGTACGTTTAATTGTCGGGACGGAGCTGCCGATGCACGATGATCCCTGTGTCCCTGCTGGTGTGCGTGCTGGCTGGCTGGTGCGCCGTGTACCTAACGGACACACTGCTCCGGGTAAAAAAACAAAGCAAAACGACTTTTATTTGCGCTCTTAAATACGACGTGGCCGCCACTACGAGCTCTAAGTTCAAACAGAAAACACCAACGGGAGACAAGCTTACTGGATAAGAAAGCTGCTTCGACCAAAAATAGTCACAGTCGGTAATTAAGTTGTCGATAGGTACTCGCATGAACGCAGAAGTACTGATTACATGTATACAAGTTCATTTATTCAAACTGCACACGAAATTGATTCTCATTTTTATGTCGTAGAGTTATAAAAAGGACCAAGATTTAAGTCTAGTACCCTGAAAAGTTGATTTAATTTGTTACACTGTGGCTGGACTAACCCAACATTATATAAAAAAGTGCCCATGACAGAGCCAAAATGTACAATTTATTAATATATGTATACAGCTGAATTTGGAAATGACAAAATCAGACGAAAATCCAAGCATGTGTAATTGTCATTATGTTTGCTTGAACCGCCAAAATGGTTCAAAAGAGGACGCAAAGTTGACACTAGAGGGTAGCAAAAATCCCAGGGGGTTCATTCATCTGATGTCATTACAATTGAAAAGTAAAATTGTCTTGCAGTCGTCACCGACGCATCGGTATGGCTACGAGTCCTGGCTGGCCAGACGAGGTCTGATGCTGTCCCCGTTCCACGTGAGGTGGCAGACGACCATTTTCAACCGGCTGTTTGCGTACTGCGCACGCATTCATCCGCGTGCGCTCTACCTGTGGTGAGTCACGAGCGTGATTAGTCAGCAGGCATTGAGGCCAAGTGAGGCACTTTTCATACATGGCAATTTTCCGCGGATCCGCGGAAATCCGCCGTTTTATTTCTTAAATTGATCATTTTTGTGAACCCAGCCGCTGGGGGGCAGTGCCCTCCCCTGGGGGTGCACTGTTCCCCAGTGCCGGTCCCAAGCCCGGAGAAATGGGGAGGGTTGCGTCAGGAATGGCATCCGGCGTAAAACTTTTGCCAAGACGACCATGCGAGTTGGTAGGACGGTTTACAGGGGCGGATGGAAATTACTGACTCGCTGTGGCGACCCCTGAATAGGGACGTGCCGAAAGGAGAAGAAGAAGAAGAAGAAGATCATTTTTGTGAATCGTCTAAATCCGTGGAGAAAATTTTAGGGGCGGTCAGGTACCTTATTGTCGAGTTTTCACGAGCTCTCCCGAACAGTCTCTCCGTTTTCCGTTTGTAAACAGCCCTGCGATTGGACGTGTATGAAAGCTTCAACTAATCAGATCACTGAAGGCATTATTTGTTGCGGAAGTCTTAGCTCGATTATAAACGGCCCAGCGATTGGTTAACTACAAGCGATTGGACCAATCAAATTGCATGTAACATATTGCTTTACCTGATTCATGGCGGCCTGTTCGTCTCGCAAATTCATTGTTCTGGGATCGTTTTGAGCGGAATTATGAAA